ATCACGGAGGCTCCGACAACATAAAGCTCGGTGGCGCGGCACTCATCGTACATTGAACGCTAGTCCGCGTACGTTGAACGTCGCTACTTTCACGAGCACGCACAGCGATGATATCAGGTCCATGCCGAAAGCCCTGCACTTTCACTAGTCTGGCTTTCGTCGTCCAGGGTGAATCCATGTTGTTCATCTTTAGTTTGGGTGGCCACCCTCGCGTTTGAGCAACGACAACCATTGTCGAGCAGCGTTTGATTACTTGCCTCCATTGACCACCTTTCACTGCACTTTCGACTTCACTTCTGTTTCGTCTACTTGAGCGCCGTCGTCGAAGTCGCGACGGCATTTCGAGGACGCCAATTCTAATTTCATCCTTGGGCTATTCAGGTCACCAAGCAAACCTTCACTTTCTTGTGCTTCGCTTGCAAAAAATACTGTGAAGCCAAGTTCAAAGGAGTCGAAGTGGCGTTGGCTTGGGACCAGACACTTCCCAGGCGCGTAGTTTGCAGCAGCGACGCGGCATCTATTGCGCGCGCAGGACGTGTCTGTTTGCTCGTCGTTGAGGTACGATCTGTAGCCGCTGGATTTCCCCTCCTTCCCTCGGCATTTGTGTCAAGGGCTGAAAAAAGTTTCTTAGTTTGGTTCAGCACCAGCGTGCCATCCGATGTCATTTGCTTCTGTGGTGTTGCAGGCAACGATGCTTGCTCTGATTCTTCTTCATCCATGAGAGGTTCACTCTGTTGAGTCTCAGATCGCCACCTTGCAATTCAAGTGTACGAACGATTGCACTCATTTTGCTCATGATCGAAAGAGTGGCATTCGCTGCACCTTGTAACTTCGCAATTGCGTCGCATGTGCCCCGTGCTTTGGCACCGCAAACACAAAGGAGGACTCCCTGGCACTACAACCAGTGTTATACTGCTCCCAATATGCATTTGATGCGGCAGTTGATCTACAGAAACGCTATGATCATGCATTTTCTCTGCTTTTTGTGATTTCTTTTGAGCAGCAAGCACGAATTTAAAGTTGAAAGGTGTGCGAGCTGTCTTACGCAATGGTTTATTGTCGAGATCAGTATACGACAACGAACACCATGGGCAAGCACGACAACATAGCCACGAGTGAAACGTGGTGAAAATGAGATGCCCAGTGAGTGCATTCGACCCGTCGCTCAGGCAGACTGGAAACAGAAATTTACTAGCGAAAAATATGCGCACTCCATCTATCGTTAACTGTAGCAAGCACATAATTTTGCAGTGCTTGGTGGTGCTGACTTTCGTCCAAGCGAGCTGAGGCCATGCGTTAGAGCGTTCGAGTTAAAGGTGCTGACGGCTGTACTCATCAAGGCAATGTCATCAGCGAATAAGATACTCTCCATCAATTCCTATCCCTAACTCTTCCCAATCTTGGCTCCTGAAAACCTCCTGTAAACACACGGTGAATAGCATTGGAGAGATCGTGTCTTCTTGCCTTACACCCTTCTTTATTAGGATTCTGTCACCTTTTTTTTTTTTTTTTCATGGAGAACTATGGTGGCTGTGGATCCCCTGTAGATTTCATCCAGTATGTTTATATAGTGTTTTTCGATGCCCTGATTCCGTAGTGCCTGCATTACTGCTGATGTCTAGACTGAGTAAAATGCCTTCTCGTAATCTATAAAGGCTATGTATAGGGGTTGGTTGTATTCCGCGCATTTCTCTATTACCTGATTGATAGTATGAATATGGTCTATTGTGGAGTAGCCTGTACGACATCCTGCTTGGTCCTTGGTTGATCGAACTCTAATGTCACTTTAATTCTATTAGCTATTATTTTTGTAAATAGTTTGTAGAGAACGAACAGTAAGCTTATCGGTCTGTAGTTTTTCAAGTCTGTAATTTTTCAAGTCCTTGACATCTTCATTTTTATGGATTAGGATGATGTTACCATGTAATATGATTTAGCTACTCGTAGCTAAATCAATTTTTCTATACTTAGTTGAGCCCAAAAGCAGCTAGGTCTAGCTAAAAAATACGTAAATTTGTGACGCTGCTGACAGTCATATTAGGCACATGAACATATATTTTAAGACAAACACATTAAAGAAGGATTTGGGTTAGTTTACAAGTTTGCCACTAGGTGGGTGTAGTCATTGCGTCATCATAATGCAAAAAAAGTGATTTTAAAGTGAGGTCGATATACCAGCAATATGAATGTTCACTTGAAATTTGAACTGATTAAATAAATCCAAGAGTGAACTGCTTTGTCAAAAGCCCGAAATACTTGGAACTGATCTCATGTGGGCAGTTTGAGAAAGGGTCATAAACCAAGTTGGAAGATTTCTCTACATAGTTTTTTTGGCAACTGCACTATAAACCACGACTGAATCATCATCACTGATAAAGCCAGCCACAACGCAGAATTTATTCGGTAGGCTTGGACGCACGAACAAGATGAGATACTCACGTGCCCTTTTTTTTCGTAATGCAGATAAATAAATTGGCTGAACTGCCTTACATATGCTTTAAATCAAGTAACCCTTGTATTACTGTGCTTTCAAGCCTTAGAGCACTTCTTAAACTATTTGCTTGTTTGTTATTAATGCTGTGCGGTGACATCGAAATGAATCCCGGACCTTCTACAGATGATGTACTAAAAGATCTGCTGAAGACCGTCAAGGATCTTAACGAATGGTCAATTTGTATAAAATCCATGCAACAAGCAATGTCGTCAACTATCTCAGAATGAAAGACTGAGCAGCGCACCATTAGCAATGCTGTAACCAACATCAAATAAAGACTTGAGATGGTTGAAAGTACAACCGCTGTGCTCGATCAATGGCAGACACATGCTCGTGCGTTAGAGCAGTCAATTAAATGTACTGAAAAAGGAATGGCCTTGCTTCAATTTAGACTATATGACGCGGAAGACCGCATTCAACATGATAACCTTTTGTTCTATGGCATATCCGATGAGGCAACAGAAAATGCTCAGCAATCCGAGCAAAAGGTATTAGAAACTACAGACGAACTACCAAAAATTGTTGTACCAGGTGAAAGCATATTCTATCCACACTGAATCGGACGCTATAACCCATATAAATCCCTGGCCACTAATAGTAAAGCTTACCAATAGTAAAATAATAGTGCAAATTTTTTCAATAAGCTATATGCTCAAGGACAGTAATGTAGCAGTTAGCAAGTATTTCTGCCCGAATACCCGGAAATTGCGGAAGAAATTGAATGACTTTGGTAAAAACCTCAAGAAACTATTTAAACTTAAATGTAAGAAGCTGCTGGTCGACGGGAAAGGCTATCAATATAACGAGGTTGAAGATGGTGTTTATGAAGTTCTTTCATCAACAAGCACAGCTCTCCAGTCAATGAGCACAAAAATAGAACGAAGCCTATCGCCTCATTCACTTCACTCAGGTCATCCTCGTCTCATCGAAAAGAAGTAGGTAAACGAAAGGGGTGGTTGGCAACACATCAGCGGTCACGATACTGTATGCCAACATTCGTAGCATTGTACCAAAGAGAGATGAGTTGAGCTGCATAATTAGCGATACAAATGCAAACATAATAGCATTAACCAAAATGTAGTTAACAAATAAAATAACTAACTCTGAGCTTATTTATTGTGATTGCAAATATATTAATGCAACGACAGAACAAACCGAAGTGGTAACGAAAATGTAAATTCATTTTGCGTGCCCCTAATTACAGACTTAGAATTATTATTGTGTTGTATTACTGTTAACCACAAGGAACTCATTATCGGTGTTTGTTATACTCGTTCGAATTGCCCGAATTCATTCTGCGGCACCCTGCATAATTGTGTGAACCAAACTGAAGTTCGTTTTGCCTGTACAGAAATCATATTAATGACAGTTTTCACTTTCCCGCACATTAACTGCACATGCGAATCCCCATTTTCACAGCCCTTTTGTACACAATCTGAACATTTTATCAGCTTATGGTCGAATTTTGGTCTTTTTCAGGCAGTTACTTTACCAACACGTGCCACTAATATTACTTCATCGTTTCTCGTCCTGGTATTAACATCAGTAGTTGACATCATTTTATCAATAACACATCTACCGGGTTTAAGTGATCATGACACTTTGCACTTCACGCTAACAGTGGCACGACCTTCCCGACATAACAGTTCCAAATTCATCAGAGATTACACAAAACTACACAACTATAAAAGCCGAATTGATCATTTTCATGAAAGATTACATACCTCACTATCTCGAACACACAGTTGAAGTGCACTGGAACATATCTAAGAAAGAAATTCAGGAATTTATCAAACGATATATTTCCCTATGATGTGTATGCAGTAGCAGCTCAGCTCCGTGGTTTAATATTCAGCCTAATTGACTAAATAACAAAAAAAAGCGACTATACCATAATACTAAAAAAGCCAACACTCCGAATCACTGGCTTTTGTACAAAGAAGCTGTTGCGCATTAGTTGTACATACAAAGAACAACGAAATTCACTTTTTATAACACCACTCTTCGTAACATATTTAAAACAAACCCAAAATGATTTTGGAATACAATTAAGCAAAAAGATGGAAACAAAATATTCCTTACTACATCATCTTGTGCTTCAGTTCCTGATAACGACTGCGTAGCTGCATTAAATGACACATTCGTAAATACCTTGTCACACATATTAATTATTATTATCCCCTCCTTTGCCAATATATCCACTCTCCAATGGAACCCATTACATTTGGTTCTTGTGGTATTCATGCAATAATCAACAAGTTAAAACTCTCTTCTTGTGGCGTCGACGAAATAAACTCTAAATTTCTTAAAAACACAAAGAAATATTAGAACGCATTTTGACTCAATCGCTTAACACGAGATTACTACCAGTGGATTGGAAAACTGGAGAAGTGATTCCGATTTATAAATTCGATGATATGGCAAACTCGTGTAATTATAGACCAATATCACTTACATTGGTATCATGCAGAACAATGGAACATGCCATATACTCACACCTTGCATGTTTTCTTGAGGATACAGTTTTTTTACTTCATTTCAGCATGGCTTTCATAAAAAAATTTCATTTGATACTCAACTTTTACTGTTCACTAACAATTTGCATTATAATGTTGACTATGGCTTTCTTATTGACAGTGTGTTTCTTGATTTTGATAAGGCATTTGACAAAGTAAACCACTGCCTACTCTTACATAAACAAGTAGTATCATGAGGAATCCTGCCTATCTCATAAATAACAAACCATTAGAATCAGTGACATCATACAAGTACTTGGGTATACATATAACCAACAACTTATCTTGGCATAAACACATTGAACATATCACAACTAAAGCAAACCGTACTCTAGGTTACCTTCGCAGAAACTTCCACGCATTACCATTCGGTTCCAAACAACTTTTATACACCACATACATCTGCCCACAGCTTGAGTATGTGTCAGCGTTGTGGGACTTACATTTATTAGATTAACCCAACGCATAGAGGCAATACGAAACTGCACTGCCCATTTCACCTTATCTAATTACCATAGAACATCTAGCAAAACCACCACGAAAGCATAATTACGGTTTCCTTTACTTGCTGTCTGCTGGAAACACTCTCGTCTATGTTTTTATCATAAAATTTACAATCATAGCCTACACATATCTTCACTGTTGATATATGCGCCATTTTTCATATCAGTGCTTCTCGACCATCGTCAAAAGGTTCAGGTGCCCAAGAGTAACACTACTGCCTATTCATTGTCATTTTCACCCAAGACTTCTAGGGAACGCAACCAGCTTCTCGGCTTTATGACAAACATTCAAGACCCCATACATTTTAAAAACTCCTTGTTAACTAATTAAATACATACTATTAGCTTTTGTCAAGTTTTCTCTTTTTTGCACTACTGCGAGTCACTTTGTATAATTACTGTGTCTATTATTGTACTTACGTGCTTTTTAAGTTATATGTTGTGTAACCCTTGTCAAGTTCAATATTACTTTTTTGCCTATTATATATGCATATATGATAGCCCCTCCCCTCTGTACTGTATCTTGTACCTTGGGGGTAAAAATAAAATAAAAAATAAATAAAATAAAAAGAGATGTTGCAGACAAAAAAAGACAAAAATTATTAAAACTAGGCCACTCATGTAAGAGTTTTATGTCAACCAGCATAGGGTAGCAAGTCCAGTGGAAATCAACTATCTGTTTCCTTATTAAAAAAAAAAAAGCCAGAGCAATGTGCTTTTATTCCGGACCTAAAGTTACTGCAAATAAGCATTTTAGAGCTGAATTTCGCCAATTTCAATGACATTATTATTATCTGATTTGCATCCACAAGGACACAAAGGAAGAGAGTAAGCTGGCAACTGCCACCTGGAGGGGCACAATTTTTTTTCGGGTAATGAAAATTTGGTTAACATTATTATTTTAACCAAGCAGCCAAACCGGTGTGCATGCTCTTTAGAAAGCACTTAAAATATTCAATGTAACAGAAGCCACACATCAAAACATCTGTCCGAGATGCAAAACAATGATGATGTCTGTAAAATACCAGAAATAGACTGCACCGAGCACATAAATAATCCAGAAAGCCTGCATTCTTAACTGCAGAAAATTAAACCTGTAACTGACTGACCCTTGTGACTGTGACACACATATCATGGTCATGTCGTATTCATTGCTGAAACATTGTAACACTCCAAAAACAAGTTATTAAAGATGTTAATTTTATTCAATTAGTTTATTAACCTATAGATGTGATGCTGTTGAGAACACTCGATTCCTGTGAGTGATGGAGAAATGTCGATGATCAGAAGAGCGGCCGGAGCAGTGGCATCAGAAACCGGACCCAGAAAGGCACGTGACGGCTCGGGTTTTGAAATGTGGCGAGGGAGACGGGTGCTGCAAGGTCGTATAGCCTCTGCTGCTCCTGCAAAGAAAAGAAGGAAAAAAATACCAAGAATTCTCGAGCATTAACCTGTTACTATAGCTTCAATTGAGCTTGAAAAAACGTGACCTTGGGCATGTTGCTTTTCCATCTAGAGTGCACAAAAGGAACAATTCACCAAGATACGACACACTGTGTCCATGTTGTTCCTTTTGTGTGCTGCACAAGTGGAGAGGCCATAAACTGTTGCTTACATAGTGTCCTTTTAAGAAGGGCAAAACACACAGTTTATTTGTGTGAAACACAGAAATAACGTTGCTCCATCTGACACCATTGATTAGCATGTCAATATTGTGAGACAGCATAGCTTTCTGACACAGAAGCGAAAATTTTACAGTGCATTTCATCAGTACCTGTATTTGTTAATAAGGAGGAAGCACTAAGCTTTAAAAAAAATAAATGAACGTTTCTTTTTAAATAACCTCAAGTAAGTTAGGGAGCTAGGTGGTATGGCATTTTACGGAGTCGTAAATACAGGAGAGGCTGGAACACTAGCCTAGTTCATTTTCTCATGTTCCATTCCCCGTGCAGCTTTAAATCGGTTCTTTTAAATACATCTAAAACCTGTCACCAGCCCTCCTTGCGTAGATACTGTCGTAGGCCCGTGTACTCAGATTTGGGTGCACGTTAAAGAATCCCAGGTGGTCGAAATTTCCGGAGCCCTCCACTACGGCATCTCTCATAATCATATGGTGGTTTTGGGACGTTAAACCCCACAAATCATTCAATCAATCCTTGCGTAGATACGAGCTATTGGAGGGCTGTTATAAGACAACTGAACAGACGATCCTTGCTCTCCCCCTTGACACCCTCAGAAATAGCCCCAAGAAGTTATGTACAAGACATTGCCTATTTCAAGACCGTCGATCAGTACAGTTGTCATGAGATTTCCTAACAATATGACAATGATGACTGTGCTCGTCTTGAACGAAAATTGTTCACACACAAAAGACTATGCTCACCATATTTGAGCTGCTTTATGCAAGATGGCCGAACTTGTCCATGTTGGGACATTAGTGTCTCTGCTTTCATTTTATTGGAATTTTTCATTGTATTGCCAGGCAGTTCTGGTTTTCTTTTTGTATGCAATTAGCGTAATAAAGGAACACCATTGAATTGAAAGAATAGTACCGTTTTATTTAGAGAAAAAAAACTGGCAGATCCGTCTTACAGTGGAAATTGATGATATGCGAAGCAGGAATGAGAAAGGTTGATATGTCACTTTAAGATCAGCACAATGTTACGAGGTTGAAGTAAGTGATGCTGTACATGACTTACGTGTCATGATTATCATGTTTGGATATGTTGCTTACCTTCGTCATCTATTCACGCCACGTTATACCAAGTTTAGTATATGTGGAGGTAGCGAAACGGCCGCGAGCACGCTATGAGCGTGGTATGTTGTCATGTTCTTAGATGAAACGCTTGTCAAGATTATCATGTTTGCACCAGTCATATACTTTCTTCATCTATTGACGTACCATAATACCGAGTTTGGTACATGTGAAGCTAGCAAAACGACTGCGAGTGCAACATGAGCGTAGCATGTAGTCACGTTAAATGACATGCATCTCATGATTATCATGTTTGCACCAGTATTATACCTTCGTCATCCATTCACGTCATGTAATACCAAATTCGGTATAAGTGAAGCTAGCAAAACGGCCGCCAGCGCATCATGAGCGTGGCATGGCATGTTGTTGCATGACATGCATCTCGGGATTATCATGTTTGCACCAGTCACATACCTTCGTCACCCATTCATGTACCGTAATACCAAATTTGGTATATGTGACGCTAGCGAAAAGGCTGCGAGCGCTTCATGAGTGTGGCAAGTAGTCATGTTGTTAGATGACAGGCATGTCATGATTTTTATTTTAGGGTCTCTTGCTTGTGTTCTCCATGCAGTCATGTCGTACCATACCAGTTGTGCGTTATGTCATGTTAACGAAACCACCGCAAGAACACCGAGACTATGAAATGTAAATCGTGACATTAATGACATACATATCATGATTTTCATGTTATGACTAGTCAAATATGTTCTTCATACAGTCACGTTATGCCATACCAAGTTTGGTAACGATATCATGGTAACAACCAGAAGAGCTAAAAGTCATAAGCGGCCAGATAGATAGATAGTTAGATTAGATACATAGACAGATGGATAGATACACAGATCAATACGCTCAAAGTCGCTGAAGTTCGCTAAGAAATGCTTCGCATTTAAAAAAAAGAGGGTGTCTTGCCGGCCAACTTGGTACGATACCATCATTAAATGTAGCGTGAAAAATATGGCTTCGGAAAGGGGGCACATGTACACAGCGCTGACTATCAACTCAGATTTATTGAGGAACAAGAAACTAGACATGATGAAAAAAAAAGAACTCCAACTAATTTGGGTGATTTCGGCAAGTTTTTCTTCTTTACGTCTTGAAAGGGTTAACTAAATAGCAAGAGAAAGTTAACAAAAAAAAGTTAAGCACTATACTTACTTGAGCCAGCTGTCTTTGAAGCTTCTCATTTGTTGTGACAATGGCAACCTGCGCTTCAAGATCTTGGTAGACTGACCGAAAACCTGTACATTCATCAAGAAGGGCAGAAAGACAAACTAGGTTTTAGTGAAAGGCTGTTCTGAGGGCTCCTCCATCGTTACTTTATAGAACACACCTTAGTGTACTTGCATAAACCACACTGTTGCAGTAACGTAAAGCTGCCTTACAGTGAAGCTTGCTTGCCAAAAATATGGCTGAGGGTTAAGCTGGCTTACAGTATAAAGGGTTTCTGTATTTTATGTTTCTGTATTGCTGTGCACCCCTGTTCAGTAGGACAAAAAAAAAAAGAAGCCTCAGTATAATGATTTGACGAATCAGGTGCTCTGTAATGCTAGCCAGTTTCCAATTGGGTGCAGTCGAGACCAGCAGTAGCGTCCTCTCACCAAAGTTTGGTGATCCAATGAGAGAGAGGCATGGCCAGGGATGGCCGTCCCTCCAGAGCCACAGGCCCTTGCCGTGGAACGTCCACTGGGGTCGCTCGTACTCCCCCACCTGAACGTGAGTGTGGGACGGCCCGACACGCTGGAAGAACTGGCGCAGCAGAAGGGTGTACACAGTTGGGATTACACCGCTCATACCTTCCGCACCATAGAAACCATTCACCTGAAAACACAGTGTGGTTTAAAGCTTATTTGAGGGACACTAAAGAGGAACAATGACTTGGTTTAGATTTACAAACTGCACTCTGACAGCTCCAATGCCATATGTTTCACTATCATAAGTTCACTATATGCAGAGGAAATCAAGGTCCAAGTTTCATGTTTAAATTTTACGCCAAAATTTTTGCGCGTGACGTAAGAAATTACAAAATGTATTTTCAGCATTTTTGTGGCATTCGCTCAATGAAATTTTTTGAAACTTCGTATGCTAAGTCTATGGTATCCGCATATTACAATGTACTTCATTTTTATCAATTATATGCCACGCAGGACCCAGTAGATGACTTCAAAATTTCTTACATCATGGTGTTTGGTGTGGACAACACAACGTGGCATCATCACTCGTGTTTTTTTTTTCATACATTTTCTCACTTACAAAGCGTCGTGTCGCGGTAAGAGTGGTGATGTCTGGATTATGAAATTGTACTTTATTAATATGCAAAAAATTGTTTTGCTCTTTAAGGTCCCTTTAAAGCGAATTGGTCATATCCCACATTGGTGGTAGATGCTAAAAATTATATTCACATAATGCTGTCACCATGCGACATCGTGACATCACAGATGACGTCATTATGATGCCACATAATGTGATGTCACATGATGACAGCATCTCTTCATAAAAAGAGGGCCAATCACGTAGGCAGTGCAAAATCAGGTTAGGTGCAGAGTGCTTGAAATGTCTCTGATTCTAAAGACAGCCCGAAACCGTATTGGGGGCCAACAGCTATCAGAAGTGGCAGAAGCAAGGCTCAATAGGTTGACTGCAAAAAAAAAAAATGATGCCTTTTCTCTGCTGAGGCAATTACCCTGCAAATTTATTTTTACAACGGCACTTGCTCATATATTAAACACAACTAAGTGAATCAAAAAGACTACAATCAAACATAATTATAACAAAGGTGCATCTTACATGAAAATAAGTTCGTTATTTTTAAAAATTAATTATAAAGGTTAATTCTTAGCACTTTATTTATTGCAAAACTATTTTTTATTCACTTCATTATAACCAGATTCATTATATAGAGGTTTGAGAGTATTAGGCAGTGAAAAGCAAGGAGGATGTTAATTCTTGTCATTAACTATAGTTTACTGATTGTAACATAAATTGCAATGAAGTAGACAAAAAATAAAATAACCCTTTCTGTCAACGGGGTCTGAATCCACAACCTACGAATTATGCGTTTGATACTATAACGAGTGAGGCACGAAGAAAGGCATTTCTGTTGTAAACAATTTTGTTCATTTCAATTTATTTCACAGTTGGGGTAAAACAGTCAGACTTATTAACATCTTTAAGCTTTCTCTGGCCTCACTGTCTATTCAAATGATTGTAGTATTTTGTGAGATACATTCTATTTTACACACTTGGTAACCTAACAAAATCGTTAAAGGGTTCCCAATAACATTAGTACATCAAAAACACTAACGGCAACAACATAGATTGAGGATACATAAGAATTATGAACAAAATCACAAGTAAACACCGATATAGATATGTAATATTGTATGACATGAAATGGCTACTGCTATTTAACAGTGAAAGCAGTAATTTGATGAAATCAATACAAAAGAGTTCACTGAATGTAAACATTCGACAGATGTCTGTCTGGTTGGGCATGTAAAGTGGGAAACGATTTTAACTCCAACCAAAAATACGCGAGAATGCGTAAACCCAACCTTTCGGAACCAGTTTGGTTCCTTCAGACAGCATCTAAATTTCATGCACCTAGCCATACAATACACGGCCAAGTGTGAAAGCGACTGCGGCCAGCCCTTTATCGACATACAAGTGGCAAAAAAGTGCAATAGCTTGGAGTTCTCCGCCCACAGGAAGCCAAAGCACACTAGCCATTACCTTCAATATGATTCGTCCCGTCCCGCCTGTCACAAGGCCTCGGTTGTGACCACGTTGTTTCAAAGAGCCAAGAACATATGCTCCAATGGCACGGAGCGCAAGAAAGAAGAGGCCCACATAGTTGTGGACCTCAGAAAAAACGGATACCCAAAAAACTTCATACGAGCCGTCACCCGCCACGCAAAGCAACAAAGGATACGGAAACCCTAATCAGCATTAATTGGCAGCCCTCTGAAATGCATACTGGTCCAATACGTCCAAGAAACCAGCGAGATGTTGGCATGGGTCTTCAAAAAAGAAGGGGTTTGCATCGCACATGTGCTTTCATGTACACTGGGCTGCCTCCTTCCCCACCTGAAAAGCCGGCCAACAATGGGCAGGAGTCCCATTGTTGTTTACAAAATCCCGTGCGCCGAGTGCCCTTTTTCGTATATCAGCGAGACAAATAACCTACCAGAATGACTCAAACAACACGCCGACATTTGAAAGCTCTACAAAGAGCGCAGTGCCGTCACCGAGCATCCTGAGACATTTGATCACCGGATAAATTCCAACGCAACGACCGTCCTCGAAAGCGAGACTAACTGGAGGAGAAGGTTACTACTCGAGTCGTGGCATACACAGCGATGACCCAGAACATCAACCATTTTTTTGGAACCCTCCCCTCGGTCCATGCACGCAACCTATGTTCCGCGGCAAAACGGCAAAAAAAAGGGGGGTCATTAATCACCCCTCGAATGCCTTGAAGACGCAACGGCAACGTAGCCCCAGTGCTCCCTGAGGAAAGAATCAAGTCGGTTCTGAAACATTGGGTTTACGCATTTTCACATACTTTTTTGGTTGGAGTTAAGATCAGTTCCCAAAAGAGTTCATTATCTGTCACATATGAACATGCTACAAATCAGTGACCATATAAGTAAAACCTCGTCAATTCTTAGTCATTGGGGCCGTGAGAAATCTTCGAATTAAGTGGGTTTTCGAATCAACAGAACATACAAAAAGTAGGATGCAAAGAACTTGAAATTATTCGAAGTATAATCTAGGCTAGTCGTTTGCTGTGCTGTCTATTTTGCGGCTCCAAGGGTTGTGCTTTCCAGCAACACGAGGTCACAGTCTTGGCGCGATTAAGGGCGAATGCCGGGCCTCACTGCTGCAATCGCAAACAAGGAAAAAAAAAAAAAGTGATCAACTTAAATGTGCACCTGCGAGAAATAAAACATCTTCACTGCAATGCAGTAGTGACACGCAGGCAGTTTGTCACCGGTGTCACCTGTTTCTCACTGCATCAGCACGTCATGATGCGACCATTAAAAAAAGATTTTACTAATAGAAAGTGTGACGAAATTCACGATGTTTTGGCAGGAAAACATGATCATCGAAGTTTTAGAACCTACTTTTTAAAGTAGCTGTAGCAGGCAATAACTCCGCCATCAGTGCAAGTGCGCAAATTGCTGGAGAAACCGACACTCAGGGGTTTGCTCACATCCTGAATTCCACCAGCCTGTCCTTTATTAATTTCTTTATATTTCCAGAAAGAATGGGTAAATCGGGATGCCCTGGCGTTGCGAGAAGCATCCGACATGCTGCCTGCACGTCGCTTCTGAGTTGCAGCAAAGCACTTGTTTTCCACAGGTGCATCTTTCAACTGATCCCCGAGACCGTTTTTTTTACAATTTTATTTTTTGTGACACTGGGGTACTTCAGCTGCCACTCATCAGTATTGCTACAGTACAGCTCTTAAAGGCTGTCATTTCCGTAGTTTTGCAGCGAGATCGGTATCGGGAATCGGTACACTGCACCCAAGGTTTTCAAGTTAACCGGAGTGGTGCTGGCCGCCACTTCAAATTATCCACTCAAACTTACATTACAAAATAAGAGACCGCTGAAGTACTTCTAATCAAGCAGAATTTCGAAATAACCTAATTCGAATTAATGAGGTCTTACTCTAGAATATATATTGGCCACAAATTATGGAATGATTGACTATGTAGTGAAAATCATTTAGTTGTGCTAGGAAGGTGAGGAGACAGGGCTCAATCTTTGTATTAGCAGTAAAGCTATTCCCAGGTTTAGGTCCTCTAAATTCTAATGCTTGCCGTTCGGTTAGTGGTGCATATAAAATGAGGCTCCATGCTAACAATACTTGCGGAATTCCATATAAGCCCAAAATCAATCAATCAATCATATTGAAACATACTGAAATGCTGGTGCAGCATCAGTAACATCACTGTATTGAAAGACATGTGCTGAAGCTATGAGTTACCTTGGGTGATGCAACGAGGAGGTCAAAACGTGAACTCTGGTTGTGGAGGATAATGTTGGAGTAGCGCTCGGTGAGGTTGAAGTATCCCGTCGCGAGCCTCAGTGTCGATCGTGCTGGAGCATGAGCGAGTAATCGCTCGGTGACTTCTTGGTCCTGGGAAGAAGCAATAATATAAGACCTAGTCAAGCCAAAACTGAACAGCAACAAAGACAATACACTCAGACCTTCATATAACGAAGCTGGATATAACAAAATATTGATTATAACAAAATCAATGAAAAATAGTCTAGCAATAGATATAGTGTTAGGAATAAACCTTCATAACAATTTTTTGGATATAGCCTGTGAAAACGCAGAAGAAAAGAAAGGCATTGAACATGCCGCCTCAATAAATAATCAATTGCACACTAATTTCGCAGATTTGTGCATTTAGCACAGCTGAGTACTGTCAAAAACATGCATGAAGTGGTACAGTAAGAATCTATCGCTGCTGAGTAAAAATTTGACAGTGGTTTTTTATGAGTGAATCATAATGGCCCTAGCCGCAACTACGGGGAATTCGAGGGGGTGTGAAAGTATTTCCACTTTTTCATATTATTTATTATTAGACCCCCGAAACCAAAGTTTACTTCCAAGGTTAGCTGTTCTACACACTGGATATTGCTCCAATAATGACGTACACTTAAAACTGCCACTAGCCAATTTCTGCTGCAAGTATCAAGCTTCTTACATACAACATCCCAGTTCACTGAGAGATACACTTGACACTTGACAAACAGCATTTTTATTTTCTCTGACAAATACACTGACGAATTAGCACGGAAGAACTGGAACCAGATGTGTGACAACCTCCAAAGAACTTGAAGCACCCCTAAAACCTGGAACATCATCAAGTCGCTCTTGAGCATGTTGAGGTACGAGGGAGACGAGACGGCAGCGATGAGGACGTTCCGTGGTTACAGCTTTTATTCGGGACACGAGCATAAACGGTGTTGCCACTGCAGCCTCCAGCCAGGCCAGGAGCTCGGTCATTCTCCAATTTGTCGGCGACGTGACAGCATCCAACATAGATGTGCCGTCGTCGCAAGTTAAATGAGCAGACAAAAGACAAAACGTACAGGAAGTGAGCTGCCTAAGAAGAGCAGCGGCCGTGGCGTCCAGACAGCCAGAAGCATAAAAACATTCCAGGCGCCTCGCACCACGAGCCACCAGCGCTCGTCATCTTTTTTTCTAGCTGGCTGGCCTCCACTAGCGCTACACTACAGGGCTCCCTGCCTAGCATGTTACGCGATAAAAAGATATGAATGAAAAAAAGGTAGGAAAAACATAGAAACACTATGTACAGGTGCGTCAGTTCCTGTAAGTGTACAGTGGGTAGTCCAAAGGTCGTCAGGGTGGAAGGCGTACGTAAGAGTCAGACAGCTCCGGTGGGTGCAACTGGGAGCCACGCAGCAGGCGAAGACGCCAATAATATCGCGTCACTAGCAGCAGCCAGCAAAGTCGAGAGGAGCGTTGGAAATGTTGCTGGTGGAAAAAATGTCAACGTCGTAGTGGGCGTAACGCCAAGCGTCGTGCGTAGCGGCTAATGGAGCTCCAACAGCAGCGCGTCTGTCGACAATGCAGTGTGTCTTTCGGGCGGAGCATGAGTCGTGCGCTGTGCAGAGATGTGATGCTGCCTCACCTGACTTAATGACAAGATGACAGATGTAATGAGGAATGGCTGTCCACGACAGTGGATAGTGGCGGTGTTACGGATTGGCCACAGGTCGTGAGGTGTTGCTCCTTGGGAAGAACTGAGGAAATCTTCGCAAGTAGATCTTGAAAACTCTGGCTGCCACTTGAGGCATTGGAAGAGTGTTCGTTACCGAATAGACTGTCTGTGAATGATCGAGTGGCAGGTGCCGATGAGTTGGTAATCTGATGCCTTGCACAGTGAGAGTGGGTTCAGGTTCCATGTTTCGAGTGGTGACGCAGGCTTCCACAGGAGTATGGATAAGTGTGGAGCCCGCAGGTGGGTCAGCTGGCTGAGCAGAGACCGTCGAATCGCTAGGGACAGATGCTACAGCTGAGCAAGTTTCTGCAGTGAATCGACGGTGCACAGGGCAGTGGCCAGCGTCGAGTCTGAGACGGAGAGAGATGGCAATGGCTCTGGTGTCAGAACCAGAACATCGAAGGGAGGAGCCGTGTAATCGGGGTGTGAGGGTCTCTCTGTGGACGGGTCGACGAATGCGGGAAGGTGGCCTCCGTCGCTTGTGTGGGCAGTTGTTGGCAGGGGAATGGTGTGGACTAGCTGGGGGGCAGGAGGCGTCCTGGAAGGTGATGAGCCTGGTGCAGCTGTGTCGTTTTTGAGAGAAATATTTCGTTTGATGCCGTAAAACTTGAGCTTGGCGTCTCACAGATCATTGTACGGGCGAGGGCTCAAGAAGTAGTATGTGAGGCGGCGTTTGAGGTCATGTGAAAGATGGTATTCCAATACCTCGTGCATGAACTCTTAGAACCAGATGCCATTTCGATACAGGTGCTTGTAGGCCGCCACCAGGGCTACGCTACAAGCACAACGAAATCGGGGTGTGAGGGTCTCTCTGTGGACTGGTCGACGAATGCGGGAGGGTGGCCTTCGTCGCTTGTGTGGGCAGTTGTTGGCAGGGGAATGGTCTGGACTAGCTGGGGGGCGGGAGGCGTCCTGGAAGGTGATGAGCCTGGTGCAGCTGTGTCGTTTTTGAGAGAAATATTTCGTTTGATGCCGTAAAACTTGAGCTTTGCGTCTCACAGATCATTGTACGGGAGAGGACTCTAGGAGAAGTACGTGAGGCGGCGTTTGAGGTCATGTGAAAGATAGTATTCCAATACCTCGTGCATGAACTCTTGGAACCAGATGCCATTTAGATCCAAGGCCGCCGCAAACTCCTCGAACCATGACTTTAGGCGAGAGGTCCGGAATGGTGGCAGTGGCAGATCGAATCGGGGCTGCCAGGCTTATGCTGACTGGAACATGGCCGCGGAGCTCGGTGGCAGTACTGCAGTGCAGGTCGCTTGTCCGGGTGTCCGTGGTCACCAATTTGTAGCAGCGTGATGGCGGCCGATGTGGATGTGCCGTCATTGCAGGTTAAATTGGCAGACGGGAGACGAGACGTACAGGAAAAGAGCTGCCGAAGAAGAGCAGCGGCTGTGGCGTCCAACCCACCAAAAGAGTACGAACATTCCAGGAGGCTCGCGTCACGAACCACCAGCGCTTGTCATCGTTTTCTCTAGCCGGCTGGCCGCCACCAGGGCTACGCTACAGGCACAACGAAATCAAAAACGGACTCTACAAAGAACCCGACTGAATGCATTCACAACTGCGGGAGCTCGGAAGATGCAATACCGTTAGAATAGCAGAAAAAGCTGAGAGGAGGTACCCAAGCTGTAGTAGTCCCTGCTTTGGACCTCGAATACACAGGAAAGCGAAATGAAGAACTCGATCGCCCATTCATACTGGAAGAAATGCAAGCAGAATTGGCAAAATTAACTCGAAACACAACCCCAGGTAAAGATTGCACCAACAACAAGATACTCCGTAACCTAGTCAAAATTGAGGAAGATTACCTCTTAAAAGCTATAAATGACAGCTGGGAAAGTGGGACCGTTCCAGCAATCTGGAAACATGCTGAGATCATCATGGTTCCTAATCCAAACAAACCACTGGGAATAGAAAATATGCGACCCATATCTCTGACATCCTGTGCAGATAAGCTGTATGAACATATGGTCCTAAACAGAGTAACTTGGAAGAAAACCGATACTTGCTTGACAAGATGTATAGATTCCTGTTACAACTGAAGGAAAATGTCATCGATCACCTAAGCAAGCATAGCAAAAGTGCAGTCTTGGCACTGGACGTGAAAGGAGCGTTTGATAATGTTTCTTACAGCGTGGTACTGAGGAACCTCCAGGACACACACTGTGGCAAAAGAAGGTACTGCTACGTACAAAAATTTCTTTGCGGCATAACAGCAACAGTGTGCCTTGGTACTCTGAAATCAGATCCGTTTGAAATGGCAAACAAAAGAACCCTCCAAGGCTCTGTCATCTCGCCACTCTTCTTTAATATTGCCATGATGAAACTGCCGAATATATTGAAAAGAATACATGGGATAAGCCACGCCCTCTATGCAGATGATTTAACCATCTGGACAACCGGTAGCTCTCCAGGAGCTCAGCAAGATGCACTTCAAAAGGCAGTGGACCGCACAGAAAGTTACCTCAATGCTTATGGGCTGACATGTGCACCAGAAAAGTCAGAGCTTTTTCTGTTGAAAGCCAGAACAAGGGGAAGGCTGCCAACAGGTGAACTCTCAGAACCAAAGCTTTGGTTGAATGGAGTGCAAATCCCTAAAGTGGAATCACTCAGAGTCCTGGGTCTAGACATCCACAAAGAGGGATTGGGCGCAGTCACATCACCGAAGCTTCAAGCAACCAAAACACAAGTTGCACACTTGGTACGACTGGTATCAAATGAAAAAAAAAAAAACGGCTTGAAAGAACATGACACCATCAAATTGATCCAAGTACTCATCATCAGCAGATTTACTTATGAAACCCCTTACTTGGATCTTAAGACTTCTGAAATTCAAAAACTGTATACCCTTATAAAAAGGCCATCAAAACTGCCATAGGAATCTATGAACGTGCTTCTACGCAGCGACTACTACGCTTAGGTTGCCACAACACCTCGGAGGAGCTCGTCGAAGCACACGAAGTAACTTAACTCGAATGGCTTAGACTAACTAAAACTGAACAAGTGGCACTCCGAAGATTGGGTTGTTCTGAAGCAATGAAACAATGTGATGAGAAAAGGAATATTCTAGCAATAATTAGACAGAACACTTCAGTACCTTGGATCCCACGAAATATGCATCCTACCTATCATCTCGAAAGAAGAAAAGCCAGAATAAAGAAGCTCCAACAAGGGTCACAATTCGCACACAAGAGACACTGATGCAGCCAAATATGCAGTAATCCCAGCACATGCTGTCAGCGTAGTCGACAGCAAAGGCAAAGAGAGAACAGCAGCTGGCATCTTAACTACAGAAATCGACACAACAAAAGAAACAGTGATAGCGCTAGCAATCTCAACCTGTACTGACACAATAATACTAACCGATTCGCAAGCAGCTTGTCAAAATTTTTATAAAGAATTTTTAAACAAGCCTTATAAATTCTCGCCTCTGCAGCGAAGACAAATCTACCAGACACGTACATCATTTGGACTCCAGGTCACAACTCCCTGATGGGAAATGAGGCAGCCAATGCTTTTGCCCGAGCTCATGTTCACCGGACCATCCCAGAGCAAGCGCTAAGGAAGAAAGAAGATTTACCTAAAAAGTTCAACAATATACTGCAGGACTACAAGCTAAACAGAAGAATTTACCCGCCAGCTCACCCCAGCCTGACTCTGAAAGAGGCAGTAACCCCCAGGAAGCTGCAAACTAACAGTTATGTCCACTGTACGCTGCTTCACCGCATTTCATCAACCGAGTACTCGTACAACTGCAAGCAGTGTGATGTCCTGGAAACCCTATTCCGTATGGTATGGCAATGCAGACAAAGCCCTGCAGCCACTACACTAACCGAAGAGCAGTGGGAGGCCAAGTTATCAGAACCGGGCCTGAAGTATCAGCGCAGCATGCTTCAACGGGCGCGGAAGATGGCGAAGGCCCGCAGCTACCTGGAATAAGGAGACCGCCTACCTTGGGAGCACAATGTGTTTGCTCAAATAAAAGTTTATTTTCTCTCTCTCTTTTTATCTTTTGGTCTTCTTGAAATACATGTCGATGCACAACAAGAAACTAATTTATTTATGCATAAAAAAACAACTGCTCATTGGTCACATGAAGGCAATCAACTCTATGAAACCAAAAACAATGGCAGCTTTGCTTGGTTCAGAATTGGAAGCCTCTGTTGATTGCCCTACAATACTAGATTATGTGGCTTTCTTTCGTGGAACTAAGGCTGCCGCGCCATTGCAAACAAATATGTCATAATCATCAAGTCAGGTTAAGATAACTTTTCACAACCTCGACATCTGAAGTCAGGTATGCTTAATTAATCAATCAATTAATTAATGTGCTCTTAATCACTCAAGACATTTACAGGAAGGAGAGACAAGAAATGATGCAAGTGTAATCAAATGTCTAGCAATTCTTGGGTTAGAAATGGCAGCACTGAAGGCAGAAAGCTAGTTCTAGCTTTACAAGTTTCTTGAAATAAATCGGCTACAGTAAGTAAGAGATTAGTACTTGTCTATACCTGCACGAAGGCACTACGTGAATTCTTTTACCTGCAGTTCCTTCATGACTTTGACAATCTGTAGAATTCCACAGACTGTTCTACATACCTGAGTGATGTCTAGCGGTGCCATCTGGAGTAACGGAAAGACCCACGTATCGGTTGAAGCATCACGTGGACAAGGTTGCGGGGGCGTGTCTCTGTTTGGCTTGATGAGTTCAGAGAGGCGTTGGTTTGCAGTCGACACAAATTCTTGATAGCTGTCTGAAGTAAAGATTTCTTAAAAGTCTCGATGGATGTATAGTAACCAACTGGTTTTACAGTCAGGTCCACTGCTAAAGAGAACACTTGCACAGGTGAGATGTGTGTGTTTCTTTCTTGCAGAAGCAAGAGAGCATAGAAGCGCATTAGACGTGCATACTGGTGGTTGACAGCTATGACTCTTCTGACAGATTAGTGCTGTGCACAAACAATATTTCCACATTCACTTGCCATTAGGGGGCCAACAATATGAAGGGTGCTGATGCGAGTGTTGCCTGTAACTGCGTACTGTATTGTACACAATTACAATATACTGGAATGTACTGGAATGTACAGTAAAGACATGTTACCTTATTCTTCGTGGCCGGTGCTCATGAAAATGAAACACGAAATCAAGACTTTCAGCATAATTAGTATGCACAATCACTTGAGACAACTGTGTTGTGTTGCTGCAAATCAGGCCACCAATGGTGATGCTAGCCCATATGTAAAGAGTACGAGGCAATGTTACGTTGATGTGACATAAAATAAAGACAGTGGAAGTGAAAGTGTGCATTACTTAGCCTTTTATTGATGCACTTAATTCTGTGAGCCTTGTACACAATTCTAGACCACTGAGAGAACACAAATGTACGAATAAAAATGTTACGCAGTGTGTACATCTAGAAACACTTTAGATTGAATGATTGCTGTAACGGCTTCAGAAAATGACATTGAATGTATAGATGGCCGACCACTTGCTCTCGGAGCCATTTTAGTGACATGCACAAAAAAAAAACTGAATTCTGGCACTTTATGAGCCAAAAGCATGATGTGGTTATGAGGCATGCTAGAGTGAGGGACTTCGGATTAATCCGGACTTCTTGGTGAATCTTTGATGCATTTAAAGAAACCATGTGACACAGATTAAGTGTGTAGTTTTGATCACTTCTTATTGAACTGTGGAATGCACCAATATCAATGCGCGAGTGGCAATGCTAAAAACAAAGCTGTTAAAATTTTATTTTGCTGGAGGAACCACACTGGTTACGAATTAGGGTGACACACAATGGCTTTTTTTGTGTGAGGAAGTGATGGTTCATCACGGAGGAGTGACAACATTTGTTGATTTGATACAACAAGACACATGTAGTTTTCATACAATGACAGATGGGTGACACTATTGAGAGCTAAAAATTATAGAAGCCCTATTTATACTTCCTCAGATACAAAAGGATTTCTGTTTCTAAATAAGAAATTTTGAAAAGAATTCCAAAAAAACGCTAGGTGTGCCCCGCAGTGGCCATTGTAAGGCGAGTCGTCCAGTTTGTTTCTGCAAAAGGCACGCTGTGACTGGAAACGGACTATGTCATCGGTGGGAGAAAGAAATGTGTTAGGAACTTTTTTGTTGTTGTTGTTGTTCTGATTACATGCTGAGATTTTCAAGCTGGAAGGCTAATAACTTTCATTACATTGCACAGATTTCAGCAATTCTATCCGAGTTCATCTTAGTATTCAGGAATACGCACACTCCTACACTACAGAATGCAGATGAAAAAGCATTGCGCGACACCTTCTGCGTGTTTCTTCAAACTACGAATAGAACCAGGATCCTGGAGCTTAGTGGTGCAACGCTTTATCCGCTAACAACAGGAATGTTGACATGTGCCCATTTCATTTTCTGCAATGCGTTATATCGGGCCCATAATCTTTACAACAGAACACTGCAACAGCTAATTCATTTTAGTGACATGAGCATTAAGTGACACTCTTGCTTCAATCCCAAGAAGATCAGATCAACCACATCCAGTTTTCCAAATACATTTCTAAAACGTCTTTTCCTAAAAACGAAAATCAATGCTTGAGGTTCAAGTTAAGGACACACACGATATTGTCACAAGCTAAGTAGATGCCTGAGGTTGACGATGACGAAGTGCTCTGGGGAACGTGCTCGGACTGCAGCAGCGTTGTACGCATTTTGCTCGCCAGTATATCCATTGTGTATCCTTTATTCCCCGTAACATCATTGGTGGAAGGTGCGGGGTACAACTCGCTATACAGCCCCACGAGCTGGATCTTCGCAGCGGACAGCGCATTGCAGCTACCACGATGACTGACCAGGCTACTCAATGCCAACAAGAGCCGTCAGCCCCGCACCCGATCGTTGTGGTGCAACCTCGTGACCCAGGCCCATTCAACGGCACAAGTGGCATAGACTTCGACGACTGGCTGGTTCTATATGAGCGCGTCAGCAGCAGCAACCATTGGGATCCGATGCTTATGTTGGCGAACATCATCTTCTACTTGCATGGCACGGCAAAACTCTGGTACGAGACACATCAAGAAGAGTTGACCAGCTGGGACGTCTGTAAGCAGAAATTGCGCTATCTGTTTGGGAAACCCATCGGACGTCAAGTGGCCGCAAAGAAAGAGCTTGCGAATCGTGCCCAGACATCCACAAAGCCGTACATCGTGTACATCCAGGACGTGTTGGCGTTGTGCCGCAAGGTCGACAAGGACATGCTCGACGAGGACAAAGTTGGACACATCCTGAAAGGAATTGCCGATGACGCCTTCAATTTTCTGCTGCGCAAGGACTGCTCGACGGTGGAGTCGGTCATCGAAGCATGTCGTCGCTTCGAACAGGAGAAAAGTAGGCGCATAGTTCACCGATTTGAACGCCTTCCCAACACGGCTGCTACGTCCTCTTGCGAAGATTTGCCCACACTACATCAACCACCAGCGCCGGAAAACGTCACCAGAATAATCCGTCGGGAACTCGAGGCTATGGTACCCGCTATGTCTAGCGTCAGCGCGCCAGGACACAATATCGATACTGTTTCAATGATACAGGCCGTGGTTCGCCAAGAGATCGCGAATATGGGCATTTCGCCATCTCATCAAAATGCCCCTGCTACTTCCAGCTCGGCTCCAGTCGTTGCGGCTGCCACTCAGAACCGCACGTTCGCGCCAAGACAAAACCCAGCTGAATGGCGCACTCATGATGATCAGCCCATATGTTTCACGTGCCATCGGATAGGACACATCGCTCGCCATTGCCGTAGCCGTTGGACCTCATCACCTCGACCTAGATTCTATGATTGGGGACCTCGCTCCGAACGTGCACCTTATGCCCCGTCCTACCGTGCAGAGACAGGTGCAGAGCATAATTCAGAACGTCGGACCAGCCGCTCGCCATCGCCCGTGCGTCGTCAGTCCCGCTCGCCCCAACCCCGCCGTTCTCGGTCTCCCTACGACCGTCGCTCGGAAAACTAGCCGGTGCAGCCCCCGGAGGTGACGCTGCATACACGACTCGGACTGCAAATCCTCTGATTACTCCCGACCAGCAGTGCAACCTTCTTACAATTCTCGTTGATGGTTTACGTGTAACTGCTCTTATTGATACCGGTGCGCAAATATCTGTGATGAGCTCAGACCTCTGTCGCCGCCTCCAAAAAGTTCTGACGCCTGCGATTGCACCTACCGTTCGTATAGCGGATGGGAGTACTCCTGCTGTCCTTGGAATGTGCACTGCGCAAATAACGATTTCTGAGCATCAAACTTCAGTTCTGTTTGCTGTACTGGAAAATTGCCCTCATGACCTCATCCTTGGACTCGACTTTCTGACTTCACACGCTGCGCTCATTGACTGTTCCAAAGGTCTTCTTTGGCTCGAACTACCATTCTTCTCAGAGACCGTCTCTACCAGCCCACCTCGTCTACGCTCTGTAGATTTCCTCAGACTTCCGCCGCAAGCCGCAATCCAAGTCCAACTCTCGCCATATCCTTCAGTACCCGATGGTGATTATGTTGCTGCCCCAATTTCTGACGTGGCCATGACACGTAATGTTGCACTCCCCAACACGGTGGTTACCGTCAAGGACAACCGAACTTCATTTCCCGTCCTCAATTTTGGCTTCTCAGTGCAAGTTATTCCTCGCGGCATGTCACTTGCGCATCTGACACCACTGGTCGACCACACAGTTTCCGTCCTAACCACCGATCCGCCACCCGATTTTCCATCAACGTCGCTCTCGTCACGCTCTTGTTCCGACCTTTTCAAGCCAATGCTATCTGACTAGCTCACCTCTGAACAAGTCTCTGCTCTCTGCCGTGTGCTTGCTTCTTATCGGGAGATCTTTGACTTCGGCGACCGTAATTTGGGCCAGACATCCGTGGTAACTCATCGCATCGACACCGGTGACGCTCGGCCCATTCGCCGATGGCCCTACCGCGTGTCAGCCCCGGAGCGTGCTATTATACAGCAAGAAGTCGATAAAATGCTTCATAAGGGCATAATCGAACCATCATCTAGTCCCTGGTCTTCACCCGTTGTACTTGTTAAAAAGAAGGACAATAGCTGGAGATTTTGTGTTGATTACCGCCATCTCAACCATATTACCAAGAAAGATGTCTATCCCCTACTGCGCATAGATGACGCGCTCGATTGCTTACATGGGGCCAAATATTTCTCTTCAATAGACCTTCGGTCAGGCTACTGGCAGATTGCTGTGGACGACAAAGACAGAGAGAAAACGGCCTTCTTGACTCCCGATGGACTTTATCAGTTCAAGATGCTGCCTTTTGGATTATGCAATGCCCCCGCGACTTTTGAGCGCATGATGGACTCTCTCCTTCGAGGCATGAAGTGGACCATCTTGACGACGTTATTGTTTTTTCGACTACTTTCGACGACCATCTTACCCGTCTGTCCACAGTGCTTGATGTTTTCCGACGTGCCAACTTGCAACTTAACTCGTCTAAATGTCGCTTTGGGCAACGTCAAATCTGCGTACTCGGCCATCTTGTTGACGCTGCGGGCGTTCAACCAGACCCTGCGAAAGTCAGAGCAGTTCGCGACTTCCCCACACCCCGCTCAGCCAAGGACGTCCGAAGTTTTCTGGGACTGTGCTTGGCCGAGACCAACACGTCGTATCACTGGTCGTTTTGTCGAGAAGTTTGCTGAAGTAGCCCGTCCTCTAACCGGCCTCCTCAAACCCGATGTCCCCTTCACCTGGGGCCAACCGCAAGCAAACGCCTTCTCGTCGCTCGTGGAGATTCTCACCAATCCACCAGTACTAGCACACTTCGACCCATCTGCCGCCACGGAGCTTCGTACTGACGCCAGTGGCCACGGCATAGGCGCAGTGCTGGCGCAGCGGCAACAAGGAATGCACCGCGTCGTCGCGTACGCAAGCCGACTGTTGTCCCGCTCGGAACAAAATTATTCGATTACAGAACGCGAGTGCTTAGCTCTCGTCTGGGCAATTGCGAAATTCCGACCGTACCTCTATGGCCGACCCTTCTCAGTTATTACGGACCACCATGCGCTTTGCTGGCTCTCCTCACTCAAGGACCCTACGGGACGCCTTGGTCGGTGGGCGCTGCGCTTACAAGAGTACACTTTTTCCGTATCCTATAAATCCGGACAACTTCACAAGGATGCCGACTGCTTGTCCCGTTACCCAGTCAATCCCCCTGACATGAAGGAAGATGGACAAGAGGTACTCGTTCTTTCAATTACCGACTTCACCGACATAGCTGCTGAACAACGCCGCGACCCCTCTTTGCGTGCTATTATCAATGGTCTGCACTCCCCTCACCCTGACTACTCCTTACAACTGTTCGTTCTTCACAACGACATCTTGCACCGCTACAACGCCCGCCCAGATGGTGCTGAGCTTTTACTCGTTGTTCCTGCGCATCTTCGCTCAGATGTTTTGGCCCAGCTTCATGATACCCCCTCCGCTGGACACCTAGGGGTGTCACGCACGTATGACCGCGCTCGCCGCCGATTCTTTTGGCCTGGCCTCTACCGTTCTGTGCGACAGTACGTTGCGGCATACGACCTCTGCCAGCGCCGCAAGACACCTGCTCTGAGACCTGCTGGTACCCTCCAGCCCATTGAAGTACCAGATGAGCCATTTTTCCGAGTCGGCCTCGATCTTCTAGGACCTTTTCCCGTGTCGGCCACCGGTAATAAGTGGATTGCTATTGCTACCGACTACGCAACGTGGTATGCCGTTACACGCGCCCTCCCCACCAGCTGCGCTACTGATTTAGCCGATTTCCTTCTTCATGACATCATTCTGCGTCATGGTGCTCCTCGTCAGTTGATCACCGACCGCAGCCGCTGTTTTCTATCTAAAGTAGTCGACGAGCTCCTGCGATCCTGCTCTACCCACCACAAGTTCACCACAGCGTACCACCCACAAACCAACGGCCTCACGGAACGCCTCAACCGTACCCTGACGAATATGTTAGCGATGTACGTCTCCAAGGATCACAAAGACTGGGACATCCACTTACCTTTCGTTACCTTCGCATACAACAGTTCACGTCACGATACAGCTGGATTTTCACCTTTTTACCTACTGTTTGGTCATGACCCGCCTTTGCCCATGGACACCATGTTCCAATCTGACACCCCCTCATCGACTACTTATGCTCGTGATGCCCTGGCCCGAGCTGACATCGCCCGCCAAGTCGCCCGGGATCGTTTATGTGCCTCGCAGCTTAACCAAAAGAGTGCTTACGATCGCCGGCACCACGACGTACAGTACTCTCCGGGGTCGCTCGTCTTGCTGTGGTTACCATCGCGTCGTGTTGGTCTCTGCGAAAAACTGATGTCCCGTTACGTTGGCCCATATCGCGTCGTACGCAAGGTCACCAGCGTGACCTATGAGATAGCTCCACTCTATATCACGTCAGTACCAGCTTCAGTCCCGACCGATATAGTGCACGTCTCACGGCTTAAACCATACTACTCACGCCCCGAGAATTGATCGCACCGGGACGGTGCTTCTGCCGCCGGCGGGTAATGTCACGGGCTAAGTAGATGCCTGAGGTTGACGACGACGAAGTGCTCTGGGGAACGTGCTCGGACTGCAGCAGCGTTGTACGCATTTTGCTCGCCAGTATATCTATTGTGTATCCTTTATTCCCCGTAACAATATCATAGCATAGCTTGGCATAGAATAAGGTCCAATTAACTGTCAGGCTAATTAGGTTATTTAGTTCACTGAAAGATTGTGAGTAGCTGGGATTGTTGCGACACCCTGCAGAGTGCATTTCAACTACACTCTTCTTTTTACACTGCCTCTGAGATCTACTTCAGCAGTGTGCAATACACAAAGTTTACCCAGGGAGTACAATAGCGCATGCGAATGCCAATTTGCAAGGGCTACTATGAGACACCCAAGTCAAGAGTTAGGGTAGACTCTAAAATTATTTTGTTTTAATTTATACGCAACGTACCTTGGAAAGGATGTATGTTGAAGCTCGGATGAACGGAAACAGAGTCGTCTCCTTGGAGCTGCAGCGAAAACGAGGAAATGGTCTGGACGATGCGAGAGAAATAATCGGAGAGGTGTGGACAGTTCCTAAAGACGACGTAACGGTCCTGTCGATTCCGGAAGTATTGGTCACTCAGATTGGCCCTGCAGAAAGGCAAAAAGTGGAAAGGGAAAAAATTATGACAATACACAAATGGTGTAGCCACATAATGGTTTCAATAATTATTATCACCAGACTCTCAATGCCCACTGCAAGGCCACTGTCACGTTTTGCCAGTCAACCCAGTCGTGTGCTTGCTACTGCTGCATTATTCTCGCAGAACTTCATCTAACTTTCAGCCTCCCTCTCTCATGCTTGTCTTCTCTTGAAATCCAGTTTGTTTATCACCAGCAGTTATCCTGCCGACAGACACGCTACGTGCCCGGCTCATGTCAATTTTTCCTTGATTTCAACTATGATATCCTTAATCCCCGTTTGTTCCCTTCCCTGACCCACTCTGCTCTCTTCCTTTTTCTTAAGGTTACACCCGTCATTTTCCGTTTCATCGATTGCTGCATTGTCCTCAATTCAAGTTGAACCTTTTTATTAAGCCTCCAGGTTTTTGTTTTTCACTCCGTAAGTACTTAAGTGCAGTAACATGTAGCTTTTACTGTGTTTGATTTTATTAAGTTATATTCTAATTCAGTTATTTGCATATACGACAGTATAGGCAAGTGAGGCACACGAAACACCACATGGTGGTCACAACGTTGCAAGAAAAACATAAAGTTTAGGCTAATTCATCTTGTATCATTTACACCACGAGGTACAAATTACAATAGATTGTTGATAGGTAATCAAAATTACTAACGATTATTGCAAGCCACTGAACTGTGAGGAAGTTAAAGGAGTATGATGTTGTTCTGTAGATACTTCTACAGGGCCATGATAATTATGGAGTAATTAAATACCAGTCTATTGCACAAATCAGTTATGTGGCATTTTTCACAAAAGGGTAATTCAACAGGCAACTCAAAATATGCGTAAAGGGTTGTTACTGGCTGCAAGCATTACGAGAAGCGGGGTAAAAAATATTCATAAGTACTGTCATTAGTGGATTATCCAACATCTCATCAGAAACAGGAGTGTTTCTATCATGGTTACCGTATCTAACTATAATATAAATTAGATAGGAACAGGTTGAATTCAGTCAAGGATTATTATTTTTTTTTTTTCACTATCACCGTTCACAACCCCAATCTTCACAACACTCATCATTACAAATGGCGAAAACAAACTGCATCAAGAAATGTAAACATGGTGCCCTCTAGAAGTTGGCAGAAACTCAAGCCTAAATTTTCAGCCAATTATTGGCAGAACCAAAATCACCTGCTCACCCACTCAGGATGAGGGTGTCATCAAACAGGTAGACCTTGAGATGGCTCAATCCGACAGTCTCGTTCCATCGTGCCGGCAGTAGCCAGCGTATGAGGCCGCGAAGCCGTGGACTGTGGTACAGTGCCACCTGCGAAAAATGAGTGCTGATGTGAAATTTTCAGCAGTAACATTATTATTTGTCAATAGCAGTGCATTGCTTATTTCCATTCGTGCTTTCACAGAATACAGTTAATGCGGTTTCCGGCCTCTATAAGAAATTATGGTGCATAACCTAGTCATTGTGGAACCCTTCTCATGAACTTTAACATGAAATGAATACAAGCACGTGCAAATGTAAAATATGACAAAGTTTTGGTTGACATTCCTGAGGCAGAAAACATTTATAAACAAAACACCAGGTTTAATAATGTAATGTAAAATATTTTTCTGCCAGTGTCAGCACAGACAAATACTCTGCTTTGAAGTCTCCAGATTGAAGTTGTACACTGCCCAGATAGCATCAGAAGCACTTGGTGATGATAAGAAAATTTTAAAAAATTATAGAAATATATTTAATACAAAAACACATGTACTTATGACAGGGAGTCTATAGTGAAACGACAACAAAAAAACATGACATGAAGAACACATATAATTAAAAATTAGTGCTTTTCCAAACATCATACAATAAAATCAGCTATTTTACACAAACACAATTTTAATTATGTCCACTATAATTGCTCCATCAGTCACAGCAAAGCTTGAAATATGGCATGTTCACACCTTTGTGCCATTCACTCAAGGCAATGATCAGACACAGACAGCAGGTCTTGTGATAGGGCTTGAACCTTGATATGATTTATCAGATTACTATTAGCAAGCTGATCAAGCATTTTATTACTAATATCAGTGCATAACAGCGATACACTTACACTAAATACTATCAACAATAATGCAATTAGTTTTATACCAAATAAAATTTCATTGCACAAAAATTGGGCTATATATGTTTTACTATTGAAATGCAGCAACGGCCTAAACTAAACAGACTAACGAAATGGATAGCCCACGTATGCAATGAACTTTTTTTTCTCAACTGAAACATTCGAGCATTCATTACACATGAAGGCCACAAACCTGAACTTGGCTCAAGGACTCTGCATGATCACCATGACCACCAGTTGGAGCACCAAATTCTTTCAACAGGGGTGTCAAAAGCGTACGTGAATTAATCTCACCCCGCGAACCCCTGGTGTAGTCCAGCAACACCCGGATCTGCACATTTCGTTTGGCTGCCGCGTGCAGTTCGGAAACCTGTGTGACAAGTAATTAAAAAGCATAATGATGCTTTGTCATGATGTTAATAAAATATTTTTGTAATTATAATTATAGCCTATAAAGGTGAACTACACCAATGTCAAAGGTTTTTAAGAATGCCCTGTCAAGTACACCTATGTAAAATGCTTTAAATAAAGGTGTCTAAAGGTTGACTACACCTTTGTCAAGGCTTTTAAATGAAGGCTTCTAAAGGCTGACTAGAATCACTGTATATGCTACCTGTAGGTAGCATACCTAGGGGTACCTTGTACAGTGACTATATTGACACGTGCGGTTCTTTTGGTTTACGAAGGAAGACGCTATCACTTTCTGTTAAGCGCAACGCAGGCCGCGTTTATCTTGTATGCCACTCTGGAACGCGTTACGACGCGTGTATAAAAAACTGACCCGTGCGGTTCTTTTCGTTTGCGAAGGAAGACGCTATCACTTTCTGTTAAGCGCAACGCAGGCCGCGTTTGTCTTGTGTGCCACTTTGGAACGCGTTACGACGCGTGTATAAAAAGCCGGCGCAGTGCGCCACTGGGGGTCTTTTTTTTTTCCGTCGGCCGACGACTGATCACGCCGCTGTTGCTGTGAGTTGTGTTTGGCCCTGTTTTGCTGGGCACAAGTTCGCCCAATAAACAGTTCGCCTGACACCGCCCTGACTCCTGCGTGCTTCCTCTCAAGTGCTGCGTGTATCACAACCTCGTGACATCTGGTGGAGGTGCTTCTCTGTCCATGTACCGTACGCCCCCGTCCAGCCGGGAGCCAAGCCCAAGCCGCCAAGAGGACGACGCCGACCCGGTCGTTCGAGTGAGCCGAAGACAACAAGGACTACCGCCCGAATACCTGCCGCTCCCCGACAAAGACAAGAAAACAAAGGCTGCTACGAAGCCGGCATCCACGATGACGGAAGCAAGGTCTTCGGCAACCGTGGTCGTCAACCAGCCCAAAGAGCCGCCTACCTTCCACGGATCGACCTACGAAGACCCGGAAAGCTGGCTTGACATTTACGACCGCGTCGCAGCCCTCAATAAGTGGGACCCGGACGACAAGCTGCATCATGTGTATTTTTACCTGGAAGACGCCGCAAGGACTTGGTTCGAGAACCGCGAGTCAACGCTTCGAACCTGGGACGACTTCCGCGTTGCTTTCCTGCGCACCTTTGCAAGCGTCGTGCGGAAGGAAAGAGCCGCATCACTGCTTGAAACTCGGGTGCAGCTCCCCAATGAAAACGTAACGATCTTCACGGAGGAGATGACGCGACTTTTCCGCCACGCCGACGCCGACATGTCTGAGGACAAGAAGGTTCGCCTGCTTATGCGAGGAGTGAAGCAGGAGCTCTTCGCCGGACTGATCAGAACCCCGCCAAAGACGGTACAAGAGTTCCTCTCCGAGGCTACCACCATCGAGAAGACTCTTGAAATGCGGACCAGCCAATACGATCGGCGCATGTCGCCAGACGTCGCAGAAGTCCGAGGACTCTGCCCCGACGACCTGCGCGAGACCATACGCGCTATTGTTCGTGAAGAACTGCGCCGCATGTTGCCATCGTCTCAGCCCCAAGTCGCCTCTCTCGAAGACGTAGTCCGCGAGGAACTACAGCGCTCACTGAGCGTTCCTGAACGGCCACAGCCCCAACCGGAGGCGATGACCTACGCCGCTACTGCAACCTACGCCGCTACTACACGACGACCTGTCGCCGCTCCTCGCCAACACCAGGACCCAACGTCTCCGCAGTTTCGTCGCCAGCCACCGCCGCCACCCCCGACGCCTTCCCGCTCGCCAGTAATCCAGCGCTCGCCGAGGAAAACTGACGTTTGGCGCATCCCGAACCACCGCCCACTATGCTACTACTGCGGCGAAGCCGGGCACACCTACCGCTACTGCCAGTACCGTGAGATGGGACTGCGTGGCTTCGACGTGAACGCGCCGCGTCCGCGCCCAGGTGAGCGACCTCGCGACATCGCCGACTACATCGCCGGATCGCAGTGGCAACAACGACGACCATCCCGTTCACCTTCGCCTGGCCGCTACGTCTCCCCGGATCGCCGCCAGTACACCGGCCCTAACCGGGGCCGATCCCCAAGCCCCTACCCGGGAAACTAAAGGCAGCAACCGATGGAGGTGCGGTTGCTGCACGACGCAATGCCGAAGATCCTCCTCCGCCGCCGCCGCCGCTGCCGATGACGACGACCACGACGCACGAACTTTCCCGACGTAGTCGCAGTACGCCGCCTGAGCAGAGTCTTTACGACAAAGCCTCGCCGCCGACGCGACATAGCAGCACCGGACCAAGCCGACGCAGCCGTGATCCGACGCCCCGACCTAACCGGAACGCCAGACGACGAACCACCGACCTCGACGTGATCATCGACGGCCACAGCATCACCGCCCTAGTCGATACCGGCGCCGACTACTCTATCATCAGTGGTCTCTTCGCCGCTAAGCTCAAGAAGGTAAAGACTGCATGGGAAGGACCGGATATCCGAACAGCAGGGGGCCACCTTATAACACCGACTGGAACCTGCACGGCAAGAGTCACGATTCACAGCCAGACGTATTCTGTGAATTTTGTGGTCCTGCAGCAATGCTCGCGAGACGTCATTTTAGGCATGGATTTCCTGGACCAGCAAGGCGCAGTAATCGACCTAAGATCCAGGTCAATCACGCTGTCCACGGATAATGCAACGGCGTCAGACTGCAACGTCGCTCACAATGCCTTGAATGTGACAGAAGAGCAGGTAACCATCCCGCCACTGTCGAGCGTCATCATTTCCGTCGGCACCAAAGCGTCTACCAACTTACAAGGTGTCATCGAAGGCGACCAGCACCTGCTCCTAAACCGTCAGATGTGCGTCGCAAGAGGCATAGCCAAGCTTCATAACGGCGAAGCCAAGGTAATGGTGACGAACTTCAGCAACGAATATAGGCACTTAAATAGGGGCACGACGGTAGCACATCTAAGCGAATTTGTGGAAGCGAGCAATGCCTTCGCCCTCACTGATTCTCAGGGAGCCGCAACGTCGACAGCAGTGTCCGCGCCCGCCTTCGACGTCAATCAAAGCCTTTCCAGGCAGCAACAAAAGGAGCTCAAAGCCTTACTCCACCAATACAAGGACTGCTTCTCGTCGTCGTCGAGGCTTCGTCAGACCCCTCTCGCGAAACATCGCGTCATAACCGACGAATATGCCCGTCCGCTCCGTCAGAGCCCCTACCGAGTTTCTGCACGGGAACGCGAGGCCATCAAGCAACAAGTCGACGAAATGCTGCGTGACGACATCATTCAGCCGTCTACGAGTCCGTGGGCATCACCCGTGGTGTTGGTGAAGAAGAAGGACGGAACCCTACGTTTTTGCGTCGATTATCGTCGCCTGAACAACATCACGAAGAAAGACGTGTATCCCCTCCCACGGATAGACGATGCTCTGGACAGACTCTACAACGCCAAGTATTTTTCGTCGATGGATCTCAAAACCGGCTACTGGCAAATCGAAGTAGACGAGAGAGACCGAGAGAAGACTGCCTTCATAACACCAGACGGCCTATTCGAGTTTAAGGTCATGCCCTTTGGTCTTTGCTCGGCGCCTGCGACGTTCCAACGGGTTATGGACACAGTACTCGCAGGCTTGAAGTGGCAGACTTGCCTCGTCTACTTGGACGACGTAGTCGTATTTTCTTCCAACTTCGACGAGCACCTCCGGCGCCTTGAAGCTGTTCTTCGGGTAATCAAAGCCTCGGGACTTACCCTGAAGCCAGAAAAGTGCCGCTTCGCCTACGAGGAACTATTGTTCCTTGGCCACGTTATCAGCAAGTCGGGAGTGCTCCCTGATCCACAGAAAACAGCTGCGATCGCTGACTTTCCTGCACCCACCGACAAGAAAGCAGTACGCCGATTTCTTGGCCTCTGCGCTTATTACAGGCGCTTCGTGAAGAACTTTTCGCGGATCGCCGAGCCACTGACGTACCTCACGAAGGCCGACGTCGACTTCAAATGGGAAACGCCGCAAGTCGAGGCATTTCAAGAATTAAAGCGACGCCTGCAAACACCGCCAATACTGGCGCACTTCGACGAAGAAGCTGACACCGAAATTCACACGGACGCAAGCAGCACAGGGCTCGGCGCCGTGATCGTGCAGAGGACCGACGGACTTGAAAGGGTCATCAGTTACGCTAGCCGGTCACTTTCGAAGGCAGAAGCCAATTATTCCACGACAGAAAAGGAATGCCTTGCCATCATCTGGGCTACATCAAAGTTCCGCCCCTACCTGTACGGCAGGCCTTTCAAAGTCGTGAGTGACCACCACGCCTTGTGTTGGCTAGCTAACTTGAAGGATCCATCAGGGCGCCTCGCACGGTGGAGTCTCAGACTACAAGAATTTGACATCACCGTCGTCTACAAGAGCGGACGAAAGCACTCCGACGCCGACTGCTTGTCTCGCGCCCCTGTCGATCCGCCGCCCCAGGATGACCAGGACGACGACTCTTTCCTGGGACCCATAAGTACCGACGACTACGCGGAACGCCAACGAGCTGACCCGGAGCTCAAGATCCTCATGGACTACCTGCAAGGCAAGACCACCGACGTGCCGAAAGTATTCCGCCGAGGACTGGCTTCGTTTTTCCTGCGAAACAACGTCCTCCTGAAGAAAAACTTCTCGCCGCTCCGCGCCGACCACCTCCTCGTGGTACCTTCAGCGTTACGTCCAGAGGTTCTGGAAGCATTACACGACGACCCGACAGCCGGACATCTTGGTGTTTCCCGCACACTGTCACGAATACAAGAGAAGTATTATTGGCCTCGCCTCGCTGCCGACGTCGCCCACTACGTAAAATCATGCAGAGACTGTCAGCGACGCAAGACGTTGACAACTAGGCCAGCCGGACTTCTGCAACCCGTCGAACCACCTCAACGACCATTCCAACAAATCGGCATGGACTTACTGGGGCCGTTCCCGACGTCAACTTCTGGCAACAAATGGATTGTCGTAGCGACTGACTACCTCACCCGCTATGCCGAGACAAGGGCCTTGCCCAAGGGCACTGCCGCCGAGGTCGCCATGTTCTTCATTGAGAACATCGTCCTCCGCCACGGAGCCCCCGAGGTCCTCATCACCGACAGAGGTACGGCCTTTACGGCTGACCTAACGCAAGCGATCTTGAGGTACAGTCAGACAAGCCACCGCCGAACCACCGCGTACCACCCACAGACGAATGGCCTCACAGGGCGTCTAAATAAGACCATCGCCGACATGCTGGCCATGTACGTGGACGTCGAGCACAAGACGTGGGACGCCATACTCCCGTATGTAACCTTCGCGTACAACACGGCCGTGCAGGAAACGACGCAGTTTGCTCCATACAAGCTCGTCTACGGGCGGAGCCCAACAACGACGCTTGACGCCATGCTACCGGTCGGCACCGACGAAGAAGACCTCGACGTCGCCAGCTACCTGGATCGCGCTGAAGAAGCTCGACAGCTAGCCCGCCTGCGTATCAAGAGCCAACAGACGGTCGACAGGCGCCACTACAACCTTCGACGACACCACACCGAATACCAACCAGGTGACCTTGTCTGGGTCTGGACGCCGATACGACGACGGGGATTGTCTGAGAAGCTCCTGCGACGCTACTTTGGACCCTACAAGGTAGTCCGACGTCGTGGTGAACTGGACTATGAGGTCGTGCCCGATGGCTTAACGTCATCCCAACGACGCCGTGCGCGACCCGAAGTCGTACACGTGGTGCGACTTAAACCTTATTACGCGCGCTGATTAGCTGTGACGCATTGTTAATGTAATTTATTGCATGTACTCTCTCTTATGTTCTGTCTTTAGCATCGGGACGATGCTTTTTCAGAGGGGGGTAGTGACACGTGCGGTTCTTTTGGTTTACGAAGGAAGACGCTATCACTTTCTGTTAAGCGCAACGCAGGCCGCGTTTATCTTGTATGCCACTCTGGAACGCGTTACGACGCGTGTATAAAAAACTGACCCGTGCGGTTCTTTTCGTTTGCGAAGGAAGACGCTATCACTTTCTGTTAAGCGCAACGCAGGCCGCGTTTGTCTTGTGTGCCACTTTGGAACGCGTTACGACGCGTGTATAAAAAGCCGGCGCAGTGCGCCACTGGGGGTCTTTTTTTTTTCCGTCGGCCGACGACTGATCACGCCGCTGTTGCTGTGAGTTGTGTTTGGCCCTGTTTTGCTGGGCACAAGTTCGCCCAATAAACAGTTCGCCTGACACCGCCCTGACTCCTGCGTGCTTCCTCTCAAGTGCTGCGTGTATCACAACCTCGTGACAATATAGTTGACTATACTAGCATTGAGGGCTTTTAATAAAGGCCTTTAAAGATCAATTATGGCTGTGTCAGGGATTTTTGGTGGTGTCCTCTGAAGGTCAACTGCAAAGAAGTTTTATAGCCTGCATAAAAAACCTAATTGCAGTTGACACAGATATAAAAGGGCTCCATGCAAGTATTTTAGACTTAAAACAAAAATAAATATAACAAACACATTGAGAGCATAAAGGGCGGCAACTATTGTTTATTGATTATGTTACCACACCGAATAGCTGTCCCTGCTTTTGCAGTAAATGAACATGCTAGGAAGAGCTAGCGAAAGTAGATGATTGTAGTAATGAAATTAAAAAACAAAAAAAATGTCATTACTGTTTTACTTGCCAAAAATGGAGCATGACCCAGAATGCACATTGTGGACCAGTAAAGCTCTCCCATTATTGGACGTCTGAGATTAAGCAACAGCAATGGCAACCAGAGAAAACTAAAAGAACAATGTGTTCGGATAGAGTGTCTATAATCTCCAGGCGTACAAGCCAACTAGCCACATGTGATTTAAAAGCCATTAAAAAGAAAGTTTAGCAGGAAGTGACAGAAAGTAAAACTTCTTAGAGCTAGCCTTTAACTGAGTGGCCAGATTGTGTTAATATTAAAAAATATAATATTCATATTAATCCACTGATGCACTGAGCAAGAAAGCAGCAACACCGGCAGAGTGGTGTAGAGAGACAAGCAATTTAACAGTAATGGCATATGACTAGTGAATGCATGTATTTTATAAGATATGCTGTTCATTAAAAAATTTATGAAGTGGTAAACAAAAAGAATGCAAAAAAAATTATATGTTTTCATCGAACACACAAATATGAGTCCACCATCATATTAGCAAACACAAAATCATCCCACTAATCTTTGCAATGTGAAGCACCAGATAGCAATCACACTAAATACATTCAGAGTATTCACCAAGTCCTTCTCAAGTTCCCCGTTTCCAAGGTAGAGAGAAGCCAAGACGATGCGCTTGCTGGCAGATGCTGTCAGCTTCTGAAAATTTGGAAAGAATAAAAAAACAGAGAAATTTTTTTTAGCGATTTCACTTCAAAGCTGGACCGCCTTTTGCATTCATCCTTCATAGTAGTAATCAAGATTATAAAAACAACCTAAGACATTTACCAATATTGCCACGCCCATTTCTATCTTTATTTTTATGTATTCAAGTTTCTTCCAGAACTCGGCAAAGAATGTGCCGCAATGTTCATAAAACTGCCATTAGTTCTTCAAAACCTTTGTTGACATGCCTTCTCGAAAATTAAACTATGGACGGTGGAGACACTGCTGTCAATCAGTGTACAGTGTGCATTGCTTGCAGCCAGACTTTTCGCTTCCTGGGCACAGCTTCACCCACATAAAGAATTCCGTCTAGCACATTGCATGTGCTAGACGATGCCTTCTGTTCTGCTTTACGCGCTCCGCAAAGACACAACCACACGAGACGCTAGCTAGCAAGGGACTGTTTATTGATGGCTGCCGCGCCGCGCGCGCGCCCTCTCTCAAGGTGGCCAGGTGAGGTGGGATCATCCCGATTTATTAAGCGGTGGCCCGCCTGGTACATCCTCCTTTTTCTTTAGGTGATGTAGTCGGCAAAGCGCGTCGGTGCTCTACGTGGCCTAGTTGATCTTCTGAGACTCGAGTCGGCTGCTTCTTGTGCCTGGCAAGTGACCTTATGCTGGGACGGGACCACGTCGGGGTCCCTTGATGGTTGACTTGCAATGGGTGGTGCACGTGCAGCTGACTGGTTCAGTAGAGCATCCGATGCAGGCGCCTGTTGTGACGGATGTCGTTCCTTTCGTGATGCGGATGCTGTTGTCAAATCGGGCGCTGTATCTGATGTTGAATGTTGTCTATGCTGTATAGGCGACGGGATTATCGGTGCGACATCCTTGTCATCCAGTGGGTCTAAGTGTTCGGGCGTCCTTTTTAGATGCTGACGATTCCTTCGATAACGCCGGCCTTCATCTGTACAGACTATGTAAGATCTAGGGCCAGCAAGTTTCTCTACTCGGGCTTTCGGAAACCACCCCTTGTCGTTTCTTATTCTGACGACGTCCCCTTCGGAGAGAGGTGTGAGAGGTATGCCTTTGCCGTGATCCTGTGGATGTTTCCGCACTGACGATGTCGAAGCCGATGAGAAGTCTGGAAGTCGTCCCCGAAGCATCCGTCCCATAAGGAGCTGACTTGGTGTGCGTCCGTCTATCAGGGGCGAGATTCGATAATTGAGCAGTGCAACCCAGAACTCCTCGCCAGCGTACTCACTTTTCTTCAAGAGGCGCTTTACGACCTGTACCCCTTTCTCAGCTAGACCATTGGCCCTGGGGAAGTGTGGACTGGATATGGTATGAGTAAAATCGTATTTTACTGCAAACTGTCTAAACTCTCGCGATGTGAACTGTGGTCCTCCATCGGTACAGACTTCAATGGGTATACCGTGGCGAGCAAACATGGTCCCTAGTGTGTCCACTACGACCTGACTTGTTGACTGAGGCAACTGTTCCACTTCTGGGTAGTTGGAGTAGGCACAGTACGCAACCAGGTAACGCTTGCCCCCATGGTCAAATAGGTCGACACCAATTCGCTGCCACGGCCGCGTTGGGATTTCCCTCGATAACAGTGGCTCTGAAGGTTGCCGGTAGGCAAAGTGCTGACATGTGGCACACTTGCTAATGAGTGACTTGATGTCAGCATTCATCCCAGGCCAGTACATCAGAAGGCGTGCTCTGGCTTTGCACTTGCTCATTCCCAAATGGCCTTCATGAAGACGTTGCAGCATGGATCGCCTCAGACTCTTTGGGATTACCACCCTGCTGCCCCGCAAAAGCACTCCATCAACATATGACAGTTCTGACAAACATGGAGCTAGTTCGCCTGAGACTGGTCGTCCTTCCTGGAGTGCCTCCACCACTTGCTTGAGGTATGGGTCCGCCAGGATTGCAGAGGTCAGTTCAGTCTTCGTGTTCTCACTTACGATGCTGGCTAGCACGCGAGTCGCATGGATGCATACGTCTTGTTCGCTTTCTCCGTCACTCGGTTGGGTTCCTGGAATTCGGGACAGTGTGTCCGCCACTAGCAGATGCTTCCCAGGAACATATTGCAATTTGATATCAAAAGGCATTAGCCTCAAGAAATAGCGCTGCAATCGTGGCGGCATTTCACTCAGGTTCTTTTGTGAAATAGCAAGCAAAGGTCGGTGGTCTGTTTCGACTGTCACTGATAACCCCAGTACGAACTCCCGGAAACGCTCACAAGCAAACGTCACGGCCAGCGCTTCCTTTTCAATTTGGGCATATTTTGTTTCAGCCTTTGAGAGCACCCTTGAAGCATAACCCACTGGGCGCCAATCTTGGTCATGGAGTTGAAGAAGAGCAGCACCTACTGCAAAGCTTGATGCATCAGCTGAGAGTTTCGTTTGCTTCACTGGGTCAAAAACTGCGATCACTGGAGCCGATGTCAAAGCCTTAATAAGATCTTTCCATTCTTTGTCATGGTGAACTTCCCATATGAATTCAACATCATTCTTTATCAATGACCTAAGGGCGTCAGTTCTTTTTGAGAGATTAGGTATGAATTTGCCAAAGTAATTCATAATACCTAAAAACCTTTGAACTTCCTGTTTACACGACGGCTTTTGCATGTTGGCAACGCATTCAATGAGACTAGCATCGGGTTTTATTCCTTCTTTGCTGATACAATCTCCCAGGAATTTAACTTCGGCCTTCGCGAACAGACACTTTTCTTTGTTCAGTGTCAGGCCAGCCTTTCTCGCTGCCATCAGTGCTGCACGCAGGCGTTGATCATGCTGCTCTTTTGATGCACCCCAAATTAAAATATCATCGACATATACGCGTGTGCCCGGCAGGTTTTCAAACACTTCCGTCATTGCCTTCTGAAATACTTCGGGGGCGGACGCGATACCAAATGGCAGGCGCAAAAATCGGTATCTTCCGAACGGCGTGCTAAAGGTGCAGATCTTTGAAGTGTCTTCGTCTAAGGGGATCTGGTGAAACCCGCTATTGGCATCAAGCTTGGTGAACATCACCGCTCCTGCCAGCTCTGCTTCTATTTCTTCACGTGAGGGTAGCTGATAATGCTCGCGTTTAAGGCTTCGATTAATGTACCGCGGGTCTAGGCATATTCGCATGCGGCCATTCTTCTTCATAATAAGAACAAGTGGACTCACCCAGTCTGACGGCTCTTCCATTTTGCATATGATGCCCTGCGAGACCATCCGGGCCAACTCCTGCTTAAGTGGCGCTCGCAGTGCGTGTGGCACTTTCCTCGGCGGCATGATCGTGGGGCGCGCATCATCCTTCATTGCCAGCGAATATGGTCTACGGATGCAGCCCAGACCGTGGAATAACTCCGGGAACTCGGTGACCCAGTCGGTGCTAACGTCACTTCTTGAAGATACATCGTGAACGCGGGAAATCAGCCCGAAACGTTCTGCTGCATTCAATCCGAGTAGGACTTGCTTGCCTCTCTTGACCACAAAAAAACTGATATTCTCTTGCTGCTCTCCTAGACGTAGTGGCAGACTGATAACGCCCAAATGATGTATTTTGCTTCCTTCGTAGTTAGTAAGTACTGTGGTCGATGGCCGCACCATGGTCGGCAAACGCATCCTGCGAAAGTACGAGTACGGCAATATGTTCGCTTGCGCTCCTGTATCCACTTTCAGTTCTGTCGGGTGCCCGGCAAGGTCCCCTGCCACCGTCCAATCCTGATTTTTGGACACGTTTCTGATTTGTACCGTGAGAACTTGAATGTCTTCATCGGTAGCGTCCGAGGACTCCTCCAGTGCATCTTCTGTTGCAGCGACGCCTAACTCATGAACGCCGCGTCTACTCCTGCAGCAAGCTGCAAAATGGTTTCTTTTGTTGCACAGCGTGCACGTTTTTCCAAACGCTGGGCAGCGTCTTGGTCCGTGAATCTTGCCACAGTAGCCACAGCGTCGACGTTGTCCGCTCGTACGAGACTGTCCGGCAGCGTTTGCAATTTTTTCGACTCTCTGCACTTTCGCTTCGCTTTCAAGAGCCCGGTTCTGCGTTGCTGCCAGTTCCGCGGCTTTGCAGATTTCTACAGCTGATTCTAGGGTTAAGTCCTTCTCCTGAAGCAGGCGTGCACGTAGCTTCTTGTCGACGATACCGCACACTATCTGGTCCCTCACCATCGAGTCCCTAAGTTCGCCAAAATTACAAGTCTGTGCTTTCAACTGAATGTCGCGCAAAAACTGTTCGAAAGGTTCACCATCCTGTTGTTGCCGACTGCGCAGAACGTACCTCTCGAATGTCTCGTTGCACCGAGGCGTGCAGTAGTCTTCGAAGGCTTTGACGATCGAGTCATAGTCCTCTCGTTGTTCTGCTGATAGAGGTAGGGTGTTAAACACTTCAATTGCCTCTGGGCCCGCGACGTGTAGAAAGATGGCAGCCTTCTGTGCTGGCGTCCGTTTCTTGTTGGTCTCAGTAGCTTTGAAGTAGAGTTCGATTCGTTGGCGGAACTTTTTCCAGTTGTCGGCCGGAGTATTTGTCAGTACAAGTGGCTCGGGTGGTGGTAGGCAGTCCATCTTCAGCGCAGGGTTCGACTGTTACACTTCTGACACCATGTTCTGCTTTACGCGCTCCGCAAAGACACAACCACACGAGACGCTAGCTAGCAAGGGACTGTTTATTGATGGCTGCCGCGCCGCGCGCGCGCCCTCTCTCAAGGTGGCCAGGTGAGGTGGGATCATCCCGATTTATTAAGCGGTGGCCCGCCTGGTACATCCTCCTTTTTCTTTAGGTGATGTAGTCGGCAAAGCGCGTCGGTGCTCTACGTGGCCTAGTTGATCTTCTGAGACTCGAGTCGGCTGCTTCTTGTGCCTGGCAAGTGACCTTATGCTGGGACGGGACCACGTCGGGGTCCCTTGATGGTTGACTTGCAATGGGTGGTGCACGTGCAGCTGACTGGTTCAGTAGAGCATCCGATGCAGGCGCCTGTTGTGACGGATGTCG